TTTACCGCCAGCCCCAGTGAATACCACCGATACCTCTAAAGATGACACTTGATAGTGATACAATGCATGCGCAAAGGCATGAGCAGAGTACCAGGTATCGTTTTCGGACTTACCGGAGCGATTGATTAAAACTAAATAATACCCATTGTGTGGTTGTGAAAACCTGCCCCTCAAATGAAACGAGCGAGGGACTAGACATGATCAGTAACACTTGTGTAAAGCATGTCGAGTGGTTCAGACGTCCAAGAATTGTCATACTTCTTTCCATGCAGCTGACAGTGGGTACCTGCTGGAGCCCTGACTGATAAGCCCCGTGCCTGGGCGACCAGCACGTGGCACACAGGCTGGACAGTACAATCAAACCCACGCCTGATTGTACTGCCCAGCCTGCACGGGACCGACTTGTGCTTCTGCCCAAAAGAACCCAGCTGCAACGTGTCTGTGACTGGCTGCATCATATTCGTTGTCGCCAGCACCATAACTCCTCATCAGAGCCACCTTGAATTGTGTGTGTGTATGTGTTTGCACATTATAGTGGATGTTGTGCCAAAGCCATTTTGAACTCTCTGTGCGTGTGAACAGTGCTGTAGATGTGCCCGAGCTATTTCGGACTTTGTGTGCGCATGTGTACAGTGATGTAGATATGCCTGAGCCATTTTGGACCCTGTGCATGCACATGTAGAGTGCGATGGGTGTTATGCCGGAGCCATTTTGGACTCAGTATGTGTGGATGCAGTGCTGTGAATGTGACAAAGCCATTTTGGATTCTGTGTGTGTGGGTGCAGTGCTGTGGATGCTGTGCAGGAGCCAGCCAGTTTAAACTCCGTGTCTGCTTGTAGAGAAAATGTTTTAATGTTTCAGCTACAAGCTCCACAAGTTTGGACTACATGTGGACGTGTAGTGCTTTTGAATTTGTTTCAATGCTTTGGGTGCAAACTCCACAGGTCTGAATTGCATGTGCACATAGTGCTTTTAAATTGCAAGCTCCACAGCTGTGGATTGCACGCACATATGTAGTGCTTCCAACTTGTGTTTGATGTTTTGGTAGCAAGCTCCACAAGTTCCTGGATTGCTCGGGCACATGTAATGCTTTTGATTTGTGTTGTGTCACTTGCAGTGTTTTTCTGATTAAGGTACCTGACACAGTAATGACAAGACTCCAAGCCTTAGAGAAGCTCCCACAAAGGGTGACTGAGGTCAGCCTTTCCACTCCCCTATGACCAAGAGTGTTTGCATAACAGCTTTACCTTTGTGAAAAATTAACATAAAAATGCAGAGTTGGACCTACTTATGAAAGTAACTTTTATGGCAGAGGTCAAATTCATTTGATTTCATCTCGTTACCTTATCCATGAGATATTCAAGACCTGGATAGAAATTCAGACTAAACAGCAGACTTTTAGTGTTGATCAAAGGAACGCCTGAAGGCTACATCAGTTTTGTTTCTAGAACCTATAGACACTCAGTGAGAGGCAGAGGTGACTTTCCAACGCAGTCCGTTCACCTTGCTCACTCCTGGAAAAGCTACGATAAAGAAAAAGAGGTTAAAATTGTTTGATATCCTCCCAAAAGGCATTAACACTCACATACCAACATGCAACCAACTGAGCAAAGAAAAAAATTACTAGTTCTTTCACTGGACGGCAAGAAACAATTGATTAGTTCTCACTATTTACCTTTTGGGAGGTCACGACAGAATTTTTAATTGCTCAATTCTTGATTAAGCGAACAGATTCTCATCATTTATGTTTAATGCTCATTGGTTCACAAAAAAGAGGTTTTTCATAAAAGTAAATGCTTCAATTATTCATTGCCACATTGTTCACAAGATATTGAATTTTGATAAATCATAGATTTACAAAATCGAGCCATGCCACGACAATTAGATACGGATGTGTGTACATATTTGTTTTCTGCAATGAAAATAATAAAGAATGTGACTTGAAATAAAGAAGTGACTCAGCATGTGACGTTGCACTGCAGTGCTCAGTCTCCTGCTGCAATTTCAACATACCAACCAACGTTACTAGAACATCTCAGTTGGGAAACTGCCATAGAGCCTGCTCTGAAAATGTGGCACCGATCCGTACACAAGTAGCGAACTAACGGCAATCGCAATGCCGCCATTCCTCCCACAGTGGCCACTTCGAGGAACTGCTTGACTGTATTGGTTAAGGACGCATTCAATAGCGTCTGCTATGACAGTTCTATTTTGGCTTTAATCGGCCATTTTGGCGCCGAAACACATACAGTGGAAAGGGTTTCAAAGATTCCAACCCCCATCTCCCAAGCGGACGCGCTGCGAATTAAAGCCGAAGTTATAATGCGCCAAGGTTGGGACGCGCTAGCTGATATCACCAGTGAGACATGGCTGCATAAAAACAATATTAATTGTGCAGGAAAACCCTGTACACTAAAATTTTATGCAGACATCACACTCATGTCATTTTGTACTAATCTTCAATTAAATTTCCTACAAAAAGAGCTTTTTCCGTTTGTTTTTATGCAAAAACATGCTTTCTAAAAGCTTATGGTGACCACAGTAAAGAAAAAGATTGAGCCGCCATCTTGGCACCCTCAGCCTCATAGTTTCGGTATTCTGGGAACATTCAGCGACTCCCTAAATCAGGGCTGCACAACTCAAAAATGATGCGGGCCAATGGTAACCACAAGTGCACACCCTGTTGCAGGGTGGCCAGATGCGGCCGAGCGAATAAGCAAATAGTCGTCCCCAACCAAGCTTGAAAGAAGCGGCGTGACCTTCATGAAAAAGCCCAAAACAAGCAGAAGTTCAATAAATGTACACATTCTTGAAAATAGTTTATTAATAAAACGAGAAACAGAACTGGTTCAAATACAAGGCAAACTCGCTCAAATACGAAGTCAGCGTGCCATGCCACTATTTGCCGGATAGTGGCATGGCACGCTGAGTAACATGCCAGCTTGAGCTCCAGTTCTGGTATCGTTCTTGGAGACAACAACTTGGTGAAGCCCATGGTAGTCAAACGTGCACTGGAAAGTGACCAAGAGTTCCTCACGTGTTTTTTCTGTTGCCATGTGCTGAACGAGGTCGGCATGATAAGCGCGGATCTCACACTTGCACGCTGCTTTTTTATTGTCTCCGGTGACTGATCGCAGCCAGTCCTTAAGCTGTGTTTCCTTTTCCCACTTTTTACAATATCTTCCGCCATACTTCGACTACTTCGAAGCCATTTTGCGCAAAATACAATGGCAACTAGACGCGACCACCGCGACTACCGACTGGGAAGATGGGCAAGGGGGCAAGGCGCCATAAGATTTGTGAATGAATAGTAATTGTTTTGTACTTTGTGACGGACGGTAGGTTGCGCCAACTAACCGCGGCGCCAAACGGTCATGCTGTTTTTCGCGTTTTTGACGACAAACGCGCTGTCAATGAGCATGACGAGTAATAAAATAACAATATTTGTGGGAAAAATGCGAATAAGCCCAAAAAACGCGACAAGCGACTGGAAAAATCTACTAGCGACTCTGTGAAAAAAGAAGCCTAAATCCGCTTATAATAAAGTGGAACTGGCCACCCGCCCCGTTGCCAGCTCTGCGGCGGAGAACATCAAACTGGAGACAAGATGTGACGAGAGCTATTCCGGGCTTCGTGCATCATCAGAAAACGGCAATGGGAGAGGCTCCACCCACAGCCCAGGACTGGCCGAGCTGCTCGAGGGAGCGGCCAAGCGCCGCCAAGGACAACGGCAGCAGAGGGGCCCCACTCCCACTCCCGCTCCCTTCCGAGGCTGCCCCCAAGTGGAGGCAGAGGAGCCGGCAGGCGATCCCAGTCCCGCCTCAAACCATCTTTAGACCAAAGATGGATTCCGGCTCTGGCAGCAGCTAGACTGAGAAGGTGGGCAGTGACTGTCGGCGTACATCCACTTTTTGGTATTCAAACGCTCAGCAGAAAATGCAGAAGCAGACTGTTTTTCTAGACTACCGGTAAACACGCTCGAAAAGGAACTTGTGGAGGAGGAGACTTTTTGTTTGCTACGTTTGCTCTCCTTGCCAGTAAGCAGTCGAGACATTGCAAGAGAGACGGTGCAGGACCCTGTGCTTAGTGGAGTGTTGGTATACATCCTTTAGGACTGAACATTTTACGTGTCAGATTAATCGCTGAAGCCGTTCTTCTAGCGTACCATTGACCTGCCAGCACACCAAGGCTGCCTCATGATGGGACTGGGAGTTGTCGTGCCGGAAAGGTTACAAAGATTTTGCTACTGGAAGAGATCCATGAAGGGCGCCCAGATGTTGTATGTGCCAAGGAACTAGCCAGGAGTTACTTCTGGTGTCCGTCAATGGACGGTGATGTTGAAGTCCACGTGCAAGCATGTGAACAGCATTAACGGCAGTGTAACCTGCCAACTCAGGGACCGTTGCATCCTTCGGCATGGCCTACGAAGCCGAGGCAGCGTGTCCACATTGACTACGCTGGACCTTACAGAGGAAAAATGCTTTTGATAGTCGTAGACTCTCACTACAAGTGGCCAGAGGATTTTGTAATGCAGACGGCAACATCGTTCAGCACGATTCAAAAACTCAAGAACTGCTTTCATGTTTTGAAAGCCCGAAGACATGGGTTTCGGACAATGACACCCAGTTCATGTCGCAAGAGTTCGAAGATTTTTTGAAGAGAAGTGGAACACGCCATGTGCTGACAGCACAGTATCACCCAAGCAGTAACGGGTTAGCAGAAAGGTTTGTGCAAGCCTTCAAGGCAGTGTTGCACAAGGGAGTGGCCACCAGCTGTTCTGATATTGGGGAGATATCTTCGTACAAGGTTGGATGCTGTCAAATTGCCCATGGAAAACAACATTGCCAGACCTTGATCCCATCAGATGGCGCAGAGAAGTTTCCGAACGGGGAAGTTCCAGGTCGACGATCAAGTTTGCGTGTTGAATTGCTAACCGTCTTTGAAGTGGTTGAAGGCTACCACCACGCTTTTGTGGCACAAGTGGAAGCCTTCCTTGTGAGATGGAAGGTGGGGTGCTGCTCTTCCATGCCAACATCACCACACGGGGGCACAACACCAACAATTTTATCAAGGCAACCATCCATGTCCTGAAGGACGTGGTTGTCAGCAGGACGAGGGCCTTCAACGCAGTGGCACTGGTGGACGCCGTGGCTGTGGTGAGGGAGCGGTACTTCGAAAGCCACATCCTCCGTCATGCCCACAGTCGTGCCGCCAGTCGCCAGCTGGCATTCCAGCTAAAAATTGCCATTACTTATAATTGTAATTCCAACTGGTTTTAATTGGAACCAAGGAACCAATAGGTTTTTGTGGATTCCAACTGAAAGTACACTGGCCAATGGTTCTCACCAATTGAAATTATTTTTCCAATTGGAACCTGAATGGGTTCCAAATGATTCATATTGGTTCCAATTGGCAGTGACCAATTGGTTGTCCAAAAACCTAACTGGTACCAATGGGAAAATTGCAATTAGAACCTAATGGGAATTTGTAATTGGGATACCAGTGGCTGTTAGGCAGGATGCAACAAGGTGCAGCTGACAGCATGGAACCTGTGGGCAACAACGTCTATGCAGTGCTCAGTGCCACCCACCACAGCGTGGTGCACGAAGTCTCTTCGGGCTTCGGAGCGTGCAGATGCCCAGTCGTGACCTCGATACGCCTCTTGAAGGGCTTGCGCCAGTTGTCGCCCGACACCCAGACATTTTCTCTGGAATCATTTCATAACGTCTTAAATGGGTTTGCTCGAAAGTCGACAGCATTCTCATTAGAGGGCATGCTATATACATACACACAAACATACGTGACATGGCCAAAGTTTTAGATCAACATAATGTCTCTTACAATACCAAAGTCTGAAATTTTTGACTGCGTATCCAGGGTAATGTGACTATGTGACCCACCCAAACACTAACGTAAGGCTGCTATATCACGCCGTGATTGACACAACAGTGACTTACATGATGTGATCATAAGTATCCAATGATGTTGCAATCAAGGTGAAAGCACATCACTCCCGTTTGATGCGGCAGTGATTGGCGTAAAGCATAAGCTCGTCCTGCAAAACTCGGGAGCCGTGGGTTCAATCCTCATCCCGGCACATTTCAATCTGAATGAGCGTTGTATTGGCATGCTAGTATAGGCTGAGTAGTGACTCAGCCTATACAAGTGGTCTTTAATGTGCACATACTACACTGGCTAAATTTCTTATCTACAGCAAGTAACAATGTTTATAAAACCTCTTGCAGACTAACTGACCGCTGTATAAGCACCAAACAACAAATTTGACAGCTGACTCTTGATGCTTCGGGAAGAAATCTCTACTTGCCCCCACAAGGAACTCAACCCAAAAGCTCCGACTCTTTTTGCGGGTTTAGGGATAAGGCTATCAAAGTCACAACAAGTGCAGCAGCCTGCAGATTAAAAAATTGCTCAGCCAATTTGGGATTACCCAATGGGCAGTCCTTTCATTTGGTCATTTGTTTGGCTTTTCCCTCCACGAAAGCTGGAGAGCACTTTTAAATGAGAAAAGAAGGCACACGGAGCAATACTTTCTAGGTTTTTCAATGCTGCGGCTGCATCTGAAATACAATCATAAAGAGACTATCCCAGAAATCTTTTCAATGCTCTTTTATTGCACACTTTGGTTGCTTTCGTTGGGGAAAAAGGACGGCAGAGGGGAGCGGCACGATAAACTGAAAGCCATGCCAAACAAATGGAATGCTGTGGTTTGTCGTAATACCTGGCCTTTGCACACCATGTAGGACCCGCCTGGCAGCACTACACTTTAATGAGAACGCGGAACGTGCACAAGCGATCACGAAAGATGGATATCATCAAGGGAAAGTGAAGACACCGACGGCAAGTAAAGAGCACCATGTAGTGTGTCCGGTGAAGACAGACACACATGGTAACTATGCACATATGTTATAATCACCCCTTCAGACAATGTTAGTGATGTGATTGGCTTTAGTCATTTTGGAGCACCTTTTGGATTATACAAAAGTCAATTTCGGAGCAGCAAAAATAACTTTTGGAGCGTATAGGCACACACCTCATTTGCATTCCTACCACCGCATATCTGTGAAGATTCCTGTGTTGGCCTGTCTAATGGCAAGACGCTGTCTATCTTGTCTTCCGACCTCCGTGCAACCTTTTATTGACATCAATTGTATGACAGGTTTGATTCACTCAAAAAACAGAACTAGATGTCTACTTTAATATAGAAACACCAGGCACAACAACAACATGCTGACTGATGAAGGACAGTCTAAACAGCCATGAATGGTTCTTTTAGGTATGTAGTCAAAGGTAAACCAAAGTGATGTTAGAATAGAATATTATTACTAGGTACCTGAATTGACATTTCATCCAACTTCTAAAAATTGTAATAAAACTGCCATTTCTTTTATTAAGAGAAAAACAAAGCTTTGTCATTTGATTATGAACACCAGTGGTATTTAATACGTAGATCTTTGTGATAGCAAAAATCGTCATGTCAACAATAAGCATCCTTAAAACCCAGCCGACCTGATTAAAGTTATTAGAGTTTCCACTCCCTGTTCCAGCCAGTTAGGTTTAATTTACTATATTTACTGTGTCATCACAACAATGAAAGCAATATAAAGGCGATAACTATACAAAAGAACCGACATAAAAATAAACGTAGAGCACAGTTCGTATACAGAGCTAACCCACCTGAACGGATCACGAACAAAAAAAATATTGCGGGACTTCCGAGTATTGTCAGTGTTAGACACAAGATATCACATTGAGTAGTATGTTATTCGAGGCCATGATCAAAGTGCATTTGGCACTGCTTGATTAGCCCCATCGGGTTGCAATGTCTAAAGTGAAACGAAGCATAGTTAAATATTTACGAAACTCTTGCATGCTAAATAAACTTTGAACAGGCCGAGAATCTCGAGGGAGAGCGACACCATCAGGGCAGCTGACTGAAACAGTGATCATTGCAATGGCTAACTTTGGCTGGCAGACAGCACAGAGCTTTAGTCATTAGTTGCCATAGTATGCAAGCTATGGAAAGCCAGTTTTCGCATAGTGACTATGAGTGCTCGCACTAGTGCTGACAGCACTGCAGCTCCCCACCCCCTCGATGAAGAGTTGTGTTTTTTATGGCCCTTCTACATCAAATTGTTTGGTCGTACGGCAAATAAATCGCAAAGCTTTCTAGTGAGGGTCTAAAAGCATGTGTTTGGAGACGCAGATAACTGTTTTTATATTTTTACTAGACTCTAATGGTTCACCAGTTCGCTTTTTTATGCTTATCTCTTGATAACATCTGGTCTCATTTCTTTCAGGCTACGTCCAGGAGCTGATGGCTGTGGCTGTTGGAATGTGCGGCTCTTCAAGCTTTCTGGAGAAGTTCCAGGCCACAAGAACACCTCCAAAGCCAAATATGAGCAACCTATCAGAACGGCCATCAAAAAAAGATTTAATTGACTCCAGAGTCAGCCGCTTTGCCAAGGCGAAGCCGCAGATTGTGTAACTTTGTCGTCTTCATCAGCTGATGAGCTAACTTCTACAGCATTGTTGTGGCCAGTATCATTACGATCTGAACTACCAATATCATGTGGCTCTCTCCAGCTGTTTTTTACTCAAAACATTTTTTTAAATGTATTTACAAGATACTGCAGGCCAGTAATGCAGCACAAGCAGGAGTGGATGCTGTTTTTCTTCACACAATACCTAGAATTTATACATCAAACGAAAAGGAGGGGCGATTGAAAACACATAAACCACGTAAAACACAAAGTACACTTTAATAAGCTGTTCAATTGATCGTAGAACGTAGTCCTAAGTAAAAACATGGGGAGGCAAGGAGATCCAATCTGTTACACTTCTGGGGAAAAAGGAGTATTTAAAAGCATTGGTGTGAGCGAATATGGAAGTTATTTTTTGTGTGTGGTCATGTCTTGTCTGTTTAGTAGATGGCTGAATGTAGGATGATGACTCGAGGCTAAGTTCGTGATACCAAAACTAAAAATTAAATTTCAATCTAGCTAGCTTCTTGCGATCTTCTAGAGGAATGATGTTACTGTCGAGACCTGTTATTACGAAGTCAACGGGAATCGGAAATCACTTCGCTAGATCCGATATTTCGTTATAACCGACTTCCGTCATAACGAAGTGCAAAAGGGAATGGGATATTGTGATCGCTTCGCTGTAGCTGCTATTTCGTTATAACCGATTTCGTTATAACCGGTTTCGACAGTAGTTCTAATTAATTTGGTAGGAGAGCCATGCCGGCGATAACGATCATATGTAAAACAAACTGCTGGTCTCTGGTCTTGCTCAAGCCTGTCAATGTTTCTTCGTAAAAGGATCCCATATAGTGCAAGCGTACTCCAACCGAGACCTTATTAGTGTGCTATAAGCTAGGAGTTTGACATGAGAGGGCACATATTTAAGCTTCTGCCTCACTAAGCCTACTTTACGACGTGCAGATGCACGGATGCAGGGCCGTAACCAGGGGGGGGGGTTAGGGGGTTCTGACCCCCCCCCCCCCCTCCCGAAAAATAGTTTCTTGCTTCAACATTTTTGGTGATCCAATTCGACCGAAAATATATACTGTGAGGGCCCCTTTCGGCTGACTGCCTCTCCAGTGAGCGTACCCTTCCCTTCTTCCTTTCCTTCGTTTTTCTCGCAGTCCACAGGTGGCGCTAGGTGTCCGTTGTTGTCGCTGTTGTGGAGCTGGAGGTTCTCTTGGTTCTCTCCGCTAACTTCTTGACTGCCTCACTGCCGATGGCCATGCTACCGTAGCTACAGCGAAGGGACAAACTTCATTGTTACAATATTGTTGATACTTGTGGTAGCGACATGAAACGACACGCTACAACATCCAAGCAAACGAAACTTGCATCTTACTTCAAGAAGGCCCACGTGGATAATGTTGGTGATGGGGAAGAACTACCGGCGGCGATGGACGACACTGGACTTTAACGCATTCTCAAATCTCCTGGGATTGCGGGCTGTGTAAAGGGTGTCCAAACAGGACACTACAAAACGCACGACTCCTACAAATTGTGAAAATTGATGCGGACGCGCCCGCTTCAAGCCCGCTTCAATTTTCACGATTTGTCGGAGTCGTGCGTTTTGTAGTGTCCTGTTTGGACACCGCTTAATCAGTGCAGGAAGCTCACAATAGCTAGTGTCTCAAGCTTTTTCGTATACTTATTTAATTAGCTATTTATTAAAACTGCTAGCCTTATAGAGAGTTTGCACGAATGAGCAAGCACATCGCAAAATCGAACAGTACTAACCACGCATACAGAGTTTACACATTACCATATGGAAGAAAAGAATAAAGCAGCTGAAATAGTCATCCTGCAATATAAATATCATATTCATGGCCAAAGTATTTAAATAAAATAAACCTGTTTTTTTTTGGCGTTGTTTCTTGGGGGGGGGCGGGAGGGAGGGTAAAATAAACACACACATCCACGCTTTCAGCGTTATAAATGTAGCTTGGTGTAAACCATATAAACAGCAAGTCTGACAGACAGCCCATAGCTGGAAGCCGACGTGTCTGCCTTGCACTCCATGGGGCGTCTGCTGCTATACACCGTTTTATCGTAGTTAGCACCATTTTGAGTATCGCAGCGCGCCCTAGCGAGCAAGTGGCCATGCTGGGGCGTTAAAAGCATTAGGTGAAAGCAGTAAAAGCGCTCCTAGGAGTGCCACTGGTGCAATCTTTGCTTTGACTGGGTGCTTTTGAAGTGCTGGATATTCATTGCAGGGTGCGTTTCGTGTGTTCTGCCATTGCGATCCACATTTTCGAACCCGGTGTGCACGTTTCTTTCTTTGTGCCATGGCATCCGCCATTGCGGCGACAAGGGGAACGGCAGCAGCAAACGAGCCAGTGATAGAAATTGGACGCAAGCACTCAAAATATTGCATCAAATAGCAAAATAATTCATGGTTGCTTGGAGGCTTTCTGCAGTTCGAGATAAGTACATCTAGAACGTTTTCGTCATTCATCCACAAGAAAATATACGAGCATGGATACACAAGATGCAGACAATAGCGTCCATGTTTCTTTTCAAAAAATACCTTACGGTATACTTCAATGTGCCTAGTGTGTATTCCTGGTATAGTTCACATCAAAAGAGATCGTACATTTTTTGTGTCTCATATTTTTATCTTCTCAGATATTGTTTTATTTTTTATTTATGCTGTTTTTGATTCATTTCCTGTGCCCTGCTGCTGAGTGCTGTAACGGGGGTTGGGACCCAGTCAGGTGATTCGTTTTCGCCTTTTGTCCCAACCTCCCTGACAACTGTGTCAAAAAATAAAAAATAAACAAACAAAAGCAGTACAGCAAAACAATCAAAGGCAGCTCCGGGTGTTTACAAAAGTTAATTGCGGTTCCCGTATCCCGTATTGCTTGTTGATTACTTAAAACAGCTACGTTGAAATAGGCCCATTACAAGCAAAAATTTATCAATGGTTCATCAGTTCCAGGAACTTGTTTCGGCAATAAAAATTTATATTTTATTTGCACCTGCGTGCGCTGTGGTGTCGGAAGTGCTTGGAAGGTGGCAGGGGCTAAGATTGACACTGGCCCTCAGATTGTTTGCTAAAGGCACGTAGCCAGGATTTTGTTTCGGGTGAGGGGGGGGGGGGGGGGGGGGGGCCGGGGAGGCAAGGGGCTGCCACCCAAGGCAAGATGCCATAAATGGAGGAGTGGGAGAGGAGGTCCTAGCAAAACTGAAGAGTTCACCCCCTTTCTCTCCTTCCTCCCCAGCTACATTCTAAAATATTGGGAAAGGAAAGGGGGGAGCCTTGGAGCCCCCCTTGCCGCCCTTGTTCAGTAGCCACTGTACGTGCATACAAGTTGAATTAATTTTTTGACAATTCCCGGAAGTGCCTTGCGGCGGATTGTGACCAACAACTAGGCGCTTGTAGATAAAATCAAGACAATGTTACTAGTGTAAAATATTAATGTCACAATAAATAATGCACAACCTTTATTTTACAAATCATGCTCAGAACCCGTACCAGGAAAGACACAGATCCCATCGGAACTTTTAGCTTTTGTTAATACTGCAGCTTGGACGAGTTGGTTCATGTCTAGTAGTAATTACAGCCCACAAAACAGACACCACTTCACTTCAAAAAGGACACCCACTCTGCGCCGAATATCAACTCAGTGTTGTATTTCGTCGTTACACTTTATCTACGCCTATGCAAAGAAACCAATTCAAATCTTCCACTAATATTTCTTGCTTTTTTCAACAATACAGGCCGTGATGATGAACAACTAGATCTGAGCTGACTAAGAAAATAGCGAGCATGACCTTGGGGAATTTTTAGTGAAGAAGCTGATCCTTTGTGCAAGCTCTCAAAATGATAGGCCAGTTAACGCTAAGTTCAGATCTGCTATGCTGCAGTGCAATGAAGTCACGTATGTGACAGGATGGGACTACCACACAGAGTGTCTTGCAGAAGTAACTTCTGACACACATATAAGGAAAGGTGATATTCTGTTTGCATTAAAAAACATATGATAATGCTTGTATGTACTTTCCTGTGGAAAATGTGGACAAGTTTGGACCTTTTATTACAAGTGTGCTCAATCAGCAACGTAAAACTGAAACTAAAAAAGAAGATTGTCGTTCCGCCCAAATCTGAAGTACAGGGTGCGCAAGGTATTTGAGGCCACAACTTCAGGGTGCATAACTTCTCATACTTTTACTAGATCTGTCCAGACGCATGACTTCTTTGACTGCACCATGTCAACTATCTAGTGCATCAATTTCAAAATGGCTGCTTCCGTAAGATCAAAACCACTTTCGCAATTATGACGGGGAAATGCATCTGTGGCCAAGCGAAAAAAAAACAAAAAAACATTCCCAGCAGTTGCACGTCGTCAGGACAATTGAGTTTATCCAGCGTGTGCAGGACATTGTGAACGACAACTCCAGCAAGTAAAAGAGGGCCGTTGCCAAGCAGCTCATAGTGGCATAGTTCACTATCAGGCTTGTGGGGCATGAGGACCTTAGATAGATACCAGTCGTACATGATAAAGAAAGGATAGTCTATGCCCCAAAAAAAGCCAGGAAAACTGTGCCATCCAGTCCAAGTGCTTGTTGAACGAGGTCAAACACCCTGAGGAACCTGAGGGGCTTTGGTCTTCTTCTGACGAAAAGAACTTTGACCAAGACCAAAATGTCAACAGGGGGAATGAGAGGTGGCTTTGTGCGAGCCCCATTGAAACCTTTATGGTAATGCGAACAAAGTTTCCACCACTTAAGATGGTCCTAACTGTTGTGAGTAACAAGAGTCATGACATGCCGCCACACTTCTTCCAACAAGGCCTTAGAGTCAACTTGAAGGCCTACATTGAGCCCTTGAGCACTGTAGTAAAACCTTGGATAAAAGACGAGGCCATACATTTTTTGACAAGACTCTGCTCCATGCCATAAAGCCCACGCAACCCAGCACTGGCTGACTGAAAACCCCTGCAAACGTGTCAGCCCCAACATG